ACACACACACACACACACACACTCACTCACACACACACGCACACACACACACACGCACAAACACACTACACACACACACAACACACACACACACACAGACACACTCACACACACACTACACACACACACACTCTCACACACACACACACACACACACACTCTCACTCTCACACACACACACACACACTGATTTTACTATCTATATGAGGATTTATTACAGTTACTGATTTATCATGTAGCTCAAAGAATTATAGGTATAATAATTCATCAATCTATTCTGATACATCAAATCAGTTTCACTGTTGACCCAATAAAAACATAAAACCCAGGATAGAGCGGCTGAGTGAATGTGGTCTGGACTGTGTGGATGAGGCTCATTGTGTCAGAGACGCTGTAGAAGGACAGAGTTCCTGCACTCTGATCCACATACACTCCTATTCTACTGTTATCATCATCATCATCATCATCATACAGTCCTATTCTCCTGCTGATGGGCTTCACAGGGAGAGCAGTGTGTTTGCTATTGTGTCTGAATGAGTAACTGAAGGGAGAGCAGATCAAACTCCAGGACTGATCATTAGATCCAAACCAACACTCATCACCCCATCCCTTCCTGCTGATGCTCTTATATGACACTGATATAGACACATCTCCACTGCACTTAATCTCCCAGTAACAGCGTCCACACACACTCTCTCTACACAACAGCTGAAGCACACGATCAAATCTGTCTGGATGATCAGGATACGGCTGATCCTCTTCCGCACCTGTCACCTTTCTGTTCTCCTCAGACAGACTGAGACGAGTGTGTGCTGTGTTTGGATCCAGTGTGAGAAAACAAGCATCTGAACACAAGAACAGAGACATTTATAAAAATAACAATCACTACAGCTGTCTGTGTGTGTTTTATATATGAGTGTGTGTGTTTTATATATGAGTGTGTGAGTGTGTGTGTGTGTTTTATATATGAGTGTGTGTGTGAGAGAGAGAGAGAGTGTGTGTGTATGTGTGTGAG